AACCTACTCAGTTGGGCCCAGTCGACAGAGCTAGTCCGCATCTTCGGACACCAGCACCAACACAAGATGGGATATACAAACCAAGCACAGCATAAACCATCTGCGAGAGTTAGGACAGACATTAAAAAACTCCACGCACACGAGGCGTAGCACCTATGTCCGTGCACTGTTTCACGGCTGTTGTTAAAATGGTAAATCCAGACGTGAGGTGTGTCCGAGCTGCGTTGACTGATGGAACCAGACAGACCAGAGACAAGTGGGAAGATTTCTTTTGTTTCCTGTATGCGTGATGTTTGGTTCAATCTGGCCTCCTTCGCACGCATGTTGAGCTAATTTCGATTTTTCAAGCAGACCCTGTATCAGGTCAGGTTGTGTTTGTACTCCATAGTGCTTGCTTCGCCGGAAGTAACTCCCCTCTCAATGATTTAGTAGTAATGAGCACCATAACCATTATATCGAAAACTTGTACAAATAAGTCCAGCTTTCTCTGCCACCCGCGTAAAACAGACACAGTTGCAAGAGAAATGGGAGAAAGCGTGGCACGGTTCGTTTTCGACCCCTAACCCACTAAGAGATTCGAGGTAAATACAAGCAGACAGTTACGGATTAGAATAAAAGTGTATAATTTATCAGTTAATAAAGATTGAGGTCACGTGTGCGTTTAAGGTATGTCCGTTCAAATAAATCAGCCTACTAAGTCGATATGCACAGAGACTGAATGAGATCTCTGAATATCCTTATATAATAAACAACCGGATATCGGTCTGATGTGTTCAAATATCCCATGACAAGTTCCCTACGTAATCCATCCTACTTCGAGCTCGACAAGAAAAGGAGGAGAGTCTTGGTCAGTGAAGTTGCTTTCAGAAGATATGGCATAAGACTGTCTTTGTTTCAAGGAATGACGCCTTTGACGCATTTGTAAACAGATTAATCGGCGATTATCTGTGTCTTATGGATTTGAGAAAGTCTAATTGCAGGCGTGTGCCGGTCGAAGCTTGTGGTGTACTGCAGTTTCTCGAGTGACTCTTCATGAAGTTGACCAAAATGTCTGATATGTTATGAAAGAAAAATATTTTCATATGTACGCATATTCATATGCTAAATGCCGACTATATATATTGTTTCCAATTGCATAATTATGTAAGAGGTAAAGCTATCCCTGTAACAGGCCGTGGAAGCCCATAGAGTTGTGAGGTGTTGAGGCTCCCACATTTTCTAGACAGTCGGCCCATAGATGGCGGTGAGGTTGTCAGGAAGACTCCTGGTACCCATTTCTGTTAGAGGCTGAGTCGACCCCGGGACCATACTACGGTTGGAAGTATTAGGTTAACTGAAAAATCCAGTGACCTCATCAGGAATCAACCGGAGCCCTTCCTGCTTGAATCAAGATTCTTGGTCCACTTGCGAAAATACTGCCGTTTACAAGTGAACGTAGAATAATACGTAATTTCAATAGTATTAATTTCGTCAGTGACTCAAAGGTTTGTGCGAATCGTTTTGGAATCTACTGTCTTGTGCTTCTAGATATGGCCCTTCTGAACTGACCGTGCAATGAAATTTGTCGAGACCAACAACTGAATTAGAGATTGCAGGGTATGAATCAGTCAGTAAAACATAAGCGACCTCCGAAGCTACAAAGCAGCTGCAACCACTGCTTCACCACTTTTTGCCATTGTAGTCACTTGCAGCGTAGAAGCTATTCCTATAAATGCGGGCTATACTGGTTATTTCTGTATATAGGTGTATATGCTTGAAATAGATCAGGCCTGTTCAGAGCTCGAACTTTCGCTGGGCCTCGTGTGCAAGTGATTTGATTTCACGAGCTGGGGAGCGGACTAACGCGTGACACGCGCCACTTTTCTGCAAGGTGGAGGCTTTCCGCGAGAAATTATATAATTACACCTGAAAACGGAAGCCATAATTTTCTCTATTATTTCCTAATTTTTAGTATTTAGAACGCCAAAATCATCGCGAAAGTGATGTGAAATAATTTCATGAACGAAAATACAGTAAACCTTCGCTAATTAGAAGTAATTTGGGGGGGGGGGGTTGAAGTCATCCGAATTAACCGATGATCATCTGGCCGCGCCATAGCTCAAGCGGTTTGCCGCTGGCTTCCCACCACGGAGGCCCGGGTTCGATCCAGGGTCTGGTCGAGTGGGGTTTGTGGTGGACAAGTGGCGCTAGGGCAGGTTTTCCCCGAGTACTTCGGTTTCCCCTACCAATCTTCATTCCGCCAATTGTTCCACAATTACCCTCACCTATCATCTGGGGCTGGTACAGTAGGCCAGAAGTGACCGCAGTACAAGGGGCTTAGTCCCACCCCACTAGCAATTAAAAAAAATACAGTAAGAAGCAGCTCCTGCAGCTACGGCGAGTGGGAGACTCATAGTTCTGCATGCTCTATATACAATGTGTTGACGTTGCGTGGGCCATGACGTATGCACTGAGAAAACTCTCAAAATGTAAGCAAGTGACATATATGTATACTGGGTTTCTTACAGAGAAACTTACTTGCAGCAGGTAGTAGAAACCTCTAGCCCTATTGCTGTTTACAAGAGGCACGTAGACTGGGTCAACCCTTAGAAACCTGAAGCTCATTTAAATCATATTTGAAAATCCGGTTCCTCCTCACAGAAAACACACTGCCTGTCTATTGAAATACTAATCTGAATAAGCAACGATAAAATCCGAACGATCATCAGTGACGCCTGTTCAAGTGACCCGTGGGAATTGAGAGAAGCAACATGTATACCTTTTTTGTTCCCGGTCCAAATTACATTGTCAGCCCATCGGAACTCCCTGATTTAATCATCTTAACAACTGCAGAAGAAAGGTTTAATTTATTCACTTGGCATACTTCATTACCCAGTATCCTGTTCCAATCGTAACGGACGGACAGACGAGACAACGACGTGCGAAATATGATTGCCAGAGTCAAGGACTGGGATGAAACGTTGCGTAATTTGATTGAAAAGTAAAAGGAAGACTTCACAGTAAGAAGGCTCCCCCCCCCCCACACCAGTTAATTGCATGTAAATCGGCCGTGTCCAATAGCAAACCGAATTCGTTTGATCTCGTAATTTACTTTTTTCTGGTTACAGTGGCGGATTCAGTTGCAGGCAATGAAGCAGGGCGTGCAGTCTGATCTTACTTTCAATTTAACACAGAGTGACTACAGAAAGTATTTATTACATTGTAGCCTATACAGCACTATTTCCAGCAGGTAGAATTTGCTATGACGGCGTGTTTCCACATATGTATGCCGTCATCAGGTCCGGTTTATAGTCTACTTTTCTTACTTTGAAAAGAAATAATGTAGGCTTATGCGATCTCCAAGCAGTGTGCTGTGTATCCCCAGATAACTTTTGAATGGCTGAACCAATCCTTACGAAACTTGGTATGTATAATATGATACCTGAGTACCATCTCAACGGCATAATTCATAAATCCCTCCAATCAATATCTGTATCTGTATTGTTGCTACGCAACGGATCGGTAAAAACATTACCGCGGCAACAAATACACACGCAACAATAGAACTGTTGGGCGCGTCGTATTCTATGCCGTCAGTTTCGTATCAAAGGCAATTTGGCGATTACTTTCTCCTAGAACTTCAATATTGGTTAGAACTGTTGTGTACTTGGCGTAAATTTTCCCTATAAACCGAGTGAAACCCTGGCTTGTTATACACTGTAGTTTACTGAAATCTGTTTCATGAGGGTGAGACTGAGTCCACTTGGTACTGCAGCCACTGTTTGGCCTGTTGTACCAGCCCAAGTTGATAGATGATGATGATGATTCTGGAACAATCGGTGGAATGCGAATTTGCAAGGGAAACCAAAGTACAAACCTGCCCCAGTGTCACTTTGTCCGCTACAAATCCCAGATGACCTGACCCGGGCTCGAATCCGGGCCGTCCGGGTTTGGAACCCGGCATCTAACCGCCTGAGCTATGGCACGCCCCCCCCCCCGTGAGCAAATCCCAGTTTTAATTGATACTGGATGATGATAATTGACACGTTACCCGAATACCTGTGTGCGTTTCTGCTTGCACCTCGAGAGTGAATCACTAACTTCTTCAAAGAAAATGTGTAGAGAATACTTGCAACAAAGGCCATAATTTTTGCCCAATGCACGTTTTCCGTAAAGCTTACGGCTGTGAAAGAATTACACACCTGAGTTGTTAGAATATGCGTACATCAGTTAACAATTGTAAGTCCAGATACTTTCCTGAGCATTATTTTCAGGTAAAGTTAAACATGTCCCTGCGCTTAACTAATTAAGCACTACGCCATTAAGGCCTATGACATAGTGGAGGTCTAGATCCACGTTTTCTTGACCGATTTGCCCCTGGGAAAAAGTAGCCGGTACTAATTTGATAGGAGGCTGGATGGGCCCCAAACCGGTCTAGACGATGATGTGGAAAAAAAGGAAATTCTTGACTCCTACCGGGACTCGAACTGCGACCTCTGTGTCGTCCGGCCCGTAGCCAGTCGCTACTGACTGAGCCATCCCAGCTGCCGAACATTGTCTTCAGACATTTGTAATTTACTTTCTGCTCTCACAAGAAGAAACAACTTTTCACATCCATTCAAAATCACAAAATAAGTCGCATATGTTAATTTAACTTTATTGGAAAAGTAATAGCACAGGCGGTATAATGACGGGCTACGAGCTGGAGGCAGCGCAAATTGTTCTCTTCTCCAACTCATCCAGACCGACTCTGGGGCTCACCCAGCCTCGTATCCAATGGGTACCGATGGTTCTTTCCTAGGTGTAAAAGAGCGGGGGTGTGAAACTCACCTCCATCTATTACCGAGGTTAAGAACACTTGGCTCTATACCTCCACTCCCCCACAGATCTTCATGGCATAGTACCTGACTAGTTAGGCACAGAGATCACCTTACCTTTACCTTAACTGGAACTTCAAAACTGCATGTATGTCAGGCATAAGAACTGAGCATGACTCAGTGAAGGTGTGGCTGTGCACTCACCTGCGGGCAAGAGCAGCGAGCTCCAGCACCAGCGCAGATGTCCGCAGCCCCTCATGGTGCACCCATGGCCTCCCAGGATCTGCAGAAAAACCAAGCAAAACAACTTATTTCCTTCTGAAGAGTTTTTTTTAAAAAACATGTGCTTTGAAAAATAAATCTATAGATTCTTACAGCGGTGGATATCTTCTGGGATATAACGTCATATAGTCCGTTGAAAGTCAACCGACGTTTCGGAGGAACATTCTGCCTCCGTCTTCGACCCTGAAGGTGGGGGCGACGTGTTCCTCCGGGACGTTGGTTGACTTTCAAACGACTACACGGCGTCACATCTCAGAAGCTGGGACTCTGCAAATATAGTTCATATTTTCGCCTTGGCTTGCCCATAAATTCCTACATCCCAATTTCTTACCCAAATTTTAAACAAAACCGCCTTCCTTAACCAATGGGAGCCAGATATTGCATTGCTAAAGAGCAGCGAATTATTAGCTGGTGTCTGAGAATATGTCGTATTTGTCCATACAACAGCTGTTGTTGGAAAATTATAGTCTAACATTTCGTCGCGCATGAAAGTATATGATGCCGGTCTGTTTAGAATCTCTTGTCTTGTTCTCGTCTCCTAGCCAGAAATCAAAAGACTGAAACATTTTACTTTCTGCTCTGTATGCTTTCGAAAATTGGTACGACTTTCTAAGGAAAGGAAGGGAAAGGGCAGGAAAGGACACATACTGAGTCTCAGTGGGAGCTAGTGTTTTTTATATATGTATATTTGTTAGCAATCAGAATTAAAAACATTCTTTAAGCTAATTTGCTAATTTAAACACCGTCCTCGTGTGCTTATTGTGTCATGATGAGGGTTCCTCCAATGAGAGATCCTCTTCAGCCATCAAGTATATCTGCTGGCCATAATTTCTTTAGCCTTCTTCGTTGTTGCTGTTCCAGTAGGGGCTGCAGTAATGTATTGCTATGGTGTCCTAGTTTATCATGATGTTTTATGCTTTTTTCTTGGATGACTTCTTTGATGAATGGTACATTGAGATCGTCATGTAGGGTCTGATTAGTCACATTCCAAGGTGCATTTGTGATCATCCGCACTATTTTGGACTGCCTTCGTTGCATTATGGCTATGTTCGATTTACTGGGGCATCCCCATAGTTCGATTCCATAGGTCCAAATGGGCTTTATGATTGTCTTGTAAAGAAGTACTTTACTATCTAGCGATGTGCTAGATTTACTTCCAATGATCCAATGTATGTCTTTTACTTCTAGGTCTACCTGTTTTCTTTTTTGGCTATATGCTCCTTCCAAGGAAGCCTGGAATCCAGGTGGAGTCCAAGATACTTAACTGTTAATGACTGTGGAATTACAGTGTTATTTACATGTACGGCTGGGCACTGCTCTTTTTTCATTGTGAAGGTGACTTGGGAGCAAGTGTTGACGATTATATCTGAACCGAAAAGGCAGGCTGAAGGGAAATTCATTTTTTGTACTTTTCTGCATACAATGTTAGGGTGATTAAGTAGAGACCGGCCATGTAGCACGCTTGGGAGAGACGAGAAATGCGTACAAAATCTGAATGGATCTTAGGAGACATGGAAAACAGAATAATGATATTAAAGGTAAAAGATAAAGTTGTCCCTGTGCTCAACGAATTTAAGCATTACGCCATTCCTGTCCATACCCCAATATCCTGCATATTTGATTTCCGTCTTAATATTATTGTGTAGAAAATGTTGGTCTATACAATAATATTAAAACGGAAATCAAATATGCAGGATATTGGGGTAGGGACCGGAACAGCCATAGTCACTTCACTGATGTGATCTCATTAAAACTAGAATGCACTTGAGGATTCCATAATGGGCCGGGCTATTATCGGCTTTCGAGCAAAGTCTCTGCTTTATGAAATTTGTACAGACGAATGCTCTGAAAGTCTCCAGATTTTTGTTACGAGCTTCTTGTACGGAAAGTTTTGTTTGACTGATACAACCAGTTTATTCGCTGTTAAGGAATCCTGAGCTATTCAGCGTAGTTCCAGAAGTCTCGGAGCGGAACGCTGTGTATTGATTAATCTGTTGGAACGCAGTGCCAGATTTAGCTGTGAAAACATTTGTTCTCCAGAAAGAGTTGGAAGCTAGTCTCACTTTAATTACATTCAAGCCAGGCGGCCTTCACGGTCCGGTTGCGTGTCAGCTGCTCCGTCGCGGCTGGCAATAGTGACCAGGGTTCAGTATGTCCCGCTTTCGAATTTCGAGGCCTAAAGACGGGAAAATTTTGTTGGTTTCTCAGTCCGCAAAAACAGGTTTTCCTAAATGATATTGATGAGATGCTGTGCTCTTATCTCGGCCGTGTCGCCGGCCGTGATGATTGAGATTTTTCGTGGTTTTCATCATGTAACTTCCAGGAATTTGACTCAGTTAAGCCACGACCGTCATTCCTAATCCATCTACCACCCGACGCTATGCATTCTCCACAGTGAAACACTCGTCGCTCCTGCATACAATTTCTGACTGCTCACCCTCTAGTTGGACGTTTTACAACCCTTATTGGAAGAACAAGCAGCCAAACGAAAGCTACTCCCCACAACTGTGGGGATGTAATGGGATGTAATGCCATAAGATCTGGAGTTTCGGATGGACATATCACCTTCATCTTTAGGGTGGAAAGAGAAGCCACACAAACATACAGAAACCAGAATAAAACAGAGCAGAAATGACATTTTCCCCCGAAAATTCAGTTGACTATCACGGGAGTAAACTTTTTGTAATCCAGAAGAGAGAGCTCTTCGCTCCTTTATGAGAAGTTAAGGTTATAAATCACGTCTTTTATAAGACGTAATCATGTCTGGAGAATGGAGTAGGCCTTGGAGACACGAATTCAATTTATACTATGGATTTAGGAACCGCAACGTAAAATACAAATATTTACGAATATTAAAAATCTTCAGAAGGGATATTTGCATATTCACCAGCTTGAACAGTTCCACGAACAAAGTGAAAGAATGCCGCACCTTACATTTTATGTCCACAACTCGTCAGTGGAGAAATGCGTGATTGCTCGTGATGAAGTTAGGCACTGCTCAATTTACGTATTTAAGTAAGCCTGTTTGCCGAAGGTTCCTGTGGACCTCTGTATATTCAACGTATAGTTTCGTAATTCATATAAACATTGTAATAATTCTCATTAACATTAACAAAAAAATATACACATTTTAATAGAAATTTTTTTCTTAATTCGCTTAGTGGGGGGTGGAGTCCAACTGAGTCCACTCGGCACGCCGGCCACTGATTGGCCTATTAATAGAAGTTACCTGCACGGTAAGGCCACGCCATAGCTCAAGCGGTTAGCCGCTGGCTTCCCACCGCAGCGGCCCAGGTTAGATCCCGGGTCTGGTCAAGTAGGATTTGTGGTGGACAAAGTGGCGCTGGGGCGGGTTTTCTCCGAGTACTTCGGTTTCCCCTGCCAATCTTCATTCCACCAAATTCTCCATCATCATCATAATCACCCGGGGCAGTCTACAATAGGCCAATCAGTGGCCGCCGTGCCGAGTGGACCCAGTTCGACTCCACCCCACCCCCCTAAGCGAATTAATTACCTTCGCGGTAGCTTAGGTTGGTTGACGCACTGTGTTACAAGCCGGAAGGTCGCGAGTTCGGTTCCCGATGAGGTCATTGGATTTTTCTATTCACCTAGTCCTTCCAGGGTCGATTCAGCAGCTAACAGAAATAAATCTGGAATCTTCCGGGGATAAAGGGAGGTCAGCGCATAAGGCTGACAAACTCACCGCCATTTGTGAGCCGACTGTCTAGAAAATGTGGGAGCCTCGACGTCTCACAACGCTATGGGCCTCCACGGCCTGTTACAGGAATATCTATACTATTTTGAATTGTTTCATTTTTGGTCCGTTACACTATCAATCACAAAGTTAATAGAAAGTCCGTCGAATTTAACAATTTGTAGGTCACTTCTTTATCACATCTGCCTTACATGTTTCGGTTTAAATACAACCATCATCAGAGGCACATAGTACAATCATGAAAACACTGTTGTTGTTTAAGATGTACACAGTTATGTTTGCTGCGTGGACGCTGCTACAATATGTCGACGTGTAAAAGCACAACACTTGCTAGGATTGTTGAATGCACTACCAATTNTCTCACTTTCCATCCGAAACTGTTTTTAAGTTAAAACGCTAATGTTAAAATATTTAAAATATTTAAAACATTTGATGTAAAATGCTAAGCTCCTCCTTGTTAATTCATCCCGAAGATGGGAGATGTCAGTTTGAGGTTGTATGGCTTATGGTTAGATGTTTCACACAACACACAGCACATAGGTTAACACCACATATACACGGTGCCAAATCCCAGAAGACTGCTTTCTTCATGTAAGGCAGAAGTGATAAAGAAGTGACCTACAAATTGTTACACTCGACGGACTTTCTATTAACTTTGTGAATATCTATACCTTTATCTGCGGGCACAACCACATTTAACCGAAATATAATGTACTCTTATGGTGTATATTGTGTGCCATTCGCTCAGGATATGAATGTTAGAGCCACCTTAGCGACTGGTGTATATATATGTTTAAGGACCCCTCTTCATAAGAAAAAAAACTAAAGAACGAACTCGTGGCGTGAGTCCGCAAGCGAGTTATACCGACCGAGCGACCGCCGCTTGTCGGCGCAATGCCCCTCTTCATATGCAGTCATTAAACAAGTTACCTTCTTAAGCACAAACAACGGGCAACAACGAATTCTCCTGCAATTCTTTCGAGGTAAGGACAGTGGAATGTCGAGGGTGTGGCTTCCGTAACACAATCCTACCTGTTTCAGATACTCACTGCGTTGTATTCTGGTGCGTTCCGTGCATCTAGCACTTCCATGCGTGACAGACGCTATCCTTCAACAAGGACATGACCACATTAAATAACAGTTCAGCCATTTATATGACGAAAACTTTCTATAACGTATTATATCTTCTGGAATATAACGCCGTGTAGTCGGGTGAAAGTAAAACAATATTCCGGATTATCACATCTTCGTTTATGCTTCAACTCTCGAAATTGAAGCGATATATT